AGACTCCACAGAAACTGAGAGAAAATAAATGTGTATTATTATAAGCTGTGGAGTATTGAAGTCACTTGTTACACAGCTAAGCTGTGGAGTATTGAAGTCACTTGTTATACAGCTAAGGAGAAATAACAGTTTGCAAAAAATGATGTAATCAAATAGTAGCAAGTTTTTCAAATGTCCATTTGTATTATATACAGTATCTTAGTATGTATATACATAAACACACATGTATACACACAGCTTTATACATATGTTATCCTCAGCCTCAGGAAATTATCTTCCATAAGTGGGATGGATTTTTGTAAGGCTAAAATAAACACATATCTTAAAAAAGCAGAGTTCAGCTCTTTTCTGCTAAAGTGTGTCTAGGACAAGCCTTCCTCAACTTGATGTTCAAATTGTTTGACTTGCCCACATTGTTTCAATGGCAGATATTTCACATGCTGTTAAATTCAATCCCTCTGCTTCAGCTTCTAATCAACACAATAATGATAACGATGGAACTAATAACAAGAATTTGCCAGGAGAGTGGCTGAAATAACAAATTATTTTATCACACATTGAAAATATATTTCACAGACTAAAAAATAAAATACCCTCTATGTGAGGCCATAATGAGAGTTCTGCATTCTACAGCATTTGTAGTCATCACTAAGTACTCAGAAAACTGGTCTAAAAAAGAATATTTGCATGACAAGACTGTTATCACTCATGTTATCTCCTGTGCGTCTCCCAGAAAAATTAAATATGGGATTTGCAAAACCATACAGGGGGTTGGAATATTATGGGTTTTTTGAGAGGGAGGGACTAACAGGGACTGGTGATTTGTTTTGCTTTGACTTCAAGAGATGGAGGCAGAAACTCTAAAGGATATTTCTGTCCAGTATAGTATACAGCATGATTTCTCAATATCAAATAAGGGACAATATCAAAAAAGTAAAAATAAAAAAAAACATTTTTTGAAAGCAAAAAATATATTTTTTTATGTACAAAGCAAAGACATAGTACAGCACATAAACAGATAATCAGTATATCCATGGTATTAAGACTTCAAGTGGAGCCAGAATAAAAAGAAAATGTCTAACATGGCTCCTTGGAGATGTATAGTAGCCTAAAGATTGAGAAACACGGGCTTGAAGGATGCCTTTCCAGAACCAAGGAGTACATCACAGCCATCCTGCCCAGGGGACCATCTTCATCGGTGTTTAACTCTTAAGACTTGACACAGGGTTGAGCTGCCACTTCTGCTCCACAGTCACTGCCCATCCCCTTAGAGAGCAGAACTGTATGGAGTCTTTTACGTGTCTCAGACTCCCAGTGACCCCTACTTTCCTTCAGCACTTTCTTGGTTTACTTGCCCTGTCCTTTGAATGTGTGTGCCTGCCTTGAAGAACATTAAAATATGCACATGGTATCTGACATTCTACTTGTCCATACTACTTCTAACTTATGTTCTCTTGACATCATGGATCAAAACTGTCCACCAAACACAGAATCTGGGCAGGGGGAAAAAGACCAAGGCAAATTCAAGAATAAGTGCCCTTAGACTGAGGAAGGCACCACGTGGTCACTAGTGTCATGAGAGTACAGTTTGTATTACACTCACTCTTCAGTGAAAACTTGGGGGGAAATACAGTATTGGCATACTGCTGCTTTAGACAAAGATAAGGCGCTATCTCAAAAACAAACTGTTAAGTAGTTCTTCCAAAAATTAAACAGAATTACCATATAATTGTGCAAAAGAATTCAAAGCAGCTATTCATACACCTCCGCTCATACCAGCATTATTTCCAACAGCCAAAAGGTGAAAGCCACCCAAATGTGCATGGATAGATGAACAGATAAACAAAATGTGGTACATAGTAAAATGGGATATTACTTTAAAATCAAGAGGATTCTTACACATACACAACAAGGATATGAAATGTGGTAGACCAAAAAGCATACACTTTGTTGATTCCACATATGTGAAATCCCTAGAGTAGCCAAATTCATTGAGAAAAGAAAGAACAGAGGTTGTCAATAGCTCTGACGAAAGAGGAAAGGGGAGTGTTATTTAATAGCTGCAGTTTCTGTTTAGGAGATGAAAAAATTCTTGAGATGGGTGGTGTACTATTCTTTTATTGAAGTACCACTGGTTTATATCCTGGTTAGTGTTTCGGAAGTATAAGATTGCCCCCTTAGGTGCAGTCACTGTAGACACCCACCACCAAAACACGGATTTGTGACTTCCATAGAAGGAATTTATGCAGGCTCTGCTGACAAGGGATAGCAAGAAGTGAGTTTGGTACCATAAAATTTCACTTAGATAAAGGTAAATGAGTGGTTCCTTATACTGACAAGCTAACTAATTAAACTAAATCTTTTTTAAAAAGTATTTGAAAAGGTGAATGTTAGCAGAAAAAAGTGTTCTTATTTCTGAGCATATAAATGAAATATAGGAAGAAAAATCAGCTAGTCTCCTCACTTTTAAGACTTTAAAGTAACTTGGCAATTTCTAGACTGAATCCAACTGTAAAATATATCTCCTTTCTACTTTCCACGTAAATATACTGGGCACTGTCCAAGGTACTGGAAGTGCCTGGGAAACAATACTCCAATCCACAGAATCATGGCAGAAGATGAGTCACATTGGTCCCTGACTGCCACCCTCTAGGTTTTGCTTTATAAATGGGGGGGTGGGAGGGGAAGGTGGAGAGAGAGCTCCTTCCAGAAAGAAATAGTCTCTTTATTCACCAGAATTCTACATAACATGTACACTATATAACCTGTGAAAATGAAACAGATGCCTAGTGTTACAGACAAGTGCTTAAGGAGATACTGACTGGCAGTTCAATCCCCCAATATAGACCAGTCCAAGCATGTCAGCCTCATACCCTTGAACCCTGATGACAGTGAACATAAAGTGGCTTGTTATTTGCAACCAGAGTCTTAATGAACACAGGGTAGTAAAACTACAACACAAATTCAGCAAACGCACTGCATGGTGTTGAGTAGGTAAATATTTTGCTTCATACACTAAAGTTGGAAGGGTATGGCTTGTTGAAAAGAGATGGGTCCAGACTCTACCCTTTGTTAGTCATGTGACCTTGTTAACACAAACCAGCCTAGCACAAACCAGACATAAAGTATTTATGTGTAAGAGAAAAGGTAGTCTATAATAGACTACCTATATATCTCTTTAAGTAATTTCTTGTCAATGAAATGGGAATAATAATGTCCCATTTTGCAGCTCACAAGATGAGAATATACACAACCACTGTATGTTTAAAAGTCATTAATTGTTTTAAATTAATAGACAGGTCAAAGAGAACACCATTTGAATAAACAAATGCCATTCATTTATCTAAAAACGAGGAGACACATTTTAACCTACAGGCCAAGTTGAGCCTATCCCCATTGTCTATATAATCCACAAATAAAAACAGTCACTACAAATGAACATCTGTAACCAACTGATGCTAGAGAGCACCAGCTTTGAATTCCAAATCAGCTAAATGTTACCTTCCCCCAAAAAAGAATTCCATTCTCCTGCTAAACATTAGCGACCTGTATTATAAACAATTATATTTTACAATGCATTTCTCTCTTACAAAGCACATATAGTAACATCTCAAGTTTGCCTGTTAGCCCACAAAGTCAGATATTTACAATCTGGACCTTTATAAATAAATCCTGATCTAAAGCATGTATAGAAAATCAACTTAGGGACATAAGAATAAAAATATTTGTCTCTTTGATTTTTAGAATGCATTTTTTTAGAACATAGAATATGTGCAAAAGCACAATATTCTACTGTATATTTTACAATATAGTAAAAAAATTGCAATAATGTGCAGGTCACATCAGACCTTCCAGAAGAGCCACTACCAGCTTCATGTTCATTTTATCAAGGTAGGCCAGTCTAGGGATCTGCTCTCAAATGAACACATCATTTGTCTCAGCAGTATGTCTTTGGAATATCATATGGTACCAAACATGCAGATATCACCTGCCCTCCAAACTGAGGTATGATGGCCCAGGCTAACAATGGAACCCAAACTTATAAAACAAGAATAAGGATCCTTTACCCAGAAAATCTCTGAATCATAATAATAACTCTTTATAATAGTTGTGAAGCCTGTACACAAAATAGAACAAGGTCACATATGCTTAGGTCCGGAGTGACTCCTGGAAATAAGTGATTTGATTATAATTATGATTATAATTAATAAAAGCAGTATGAATGATATATGATAAAGAAAGTAAATAACAACAATAATGTTAAGACACTTTAGAATACCTGTAGCAGGCATACAAAGATGCATAAGGAATGGACCTTACCATAAAGGGGTTTTGGGAATAATGCCTGAAGGCAAGAAAATAGAGTATATTATAAATCCCTTGTATGATATCATTAAGGCAGATTAAAAAACAGAATAGTTACACTTAAGACAGGGTACATAAGACTTTAGAACTGTGAGTTGCCTCAGAATCACCTCCACAGAAGCCTAAACCCCAAGAATATAAAGTATAAAAATCACAAGAACAGACACCAAGAGCTCTGAATATCCATGTTTTCCTCATCTTAATATCAGGACAATAATAAATACTCCAAAAGCTTGAAAGAATTAAATAGTAAATAAAAAAAATTTATAGTGAATAATACACAAAAAGCACTCAATAAATATTAGATATTGTTATCTTTTATGAAATAGTTATGAACATACTGTAATTCCTTCAAATAAAATTTTTCATTCTGATTATTTCTCTTAATTAGACTATAAGTATTCTTCATGGAATCACATACTTTTTGATGGCATATTTTTAATTTATTTTGTCACAAATGGCAGGTTAATTTTATTGTGGTTTGTATTTATGAAATAATCAGTAAGGATTTTATTTTGCATATATTGTGTATTAACTGTATTTTTTCTCATTATGTCTGCTCATGAGCCAAAAACCCAATGGGAATCTCCATAATATCTTAAAATTAATGTCAGTTCAAAGTGGAAACAACTTACCTTCTGGGCTCCCTGTCTTAAGAATGTGCTGGCAAAAGTTTCCAAAATGTAGTTGAAAAAGCCTGCCCCTGTGATTGAAATCCTGCCTCTTTGAATGAACTCTGTCCTATAAAAAACAAAACATACATCTTTGATGTCATTCTATTTTTTTTGGTATTTAATCCACAGAGATTTCCAACAGCATAATTTCACTAGCCTTACTCAAATTGAAGAATATTTTTTCAAGTTGCTAAAAGATTAAATTTAAAAATTTTTTTCTCCTCAAAAAATAAGATTGATGTGACAGACTTCTCCTGTTTCCCCCACTGCTCCCCTCAGCAGTATACTTTATCAATCTGCCTGTTCTGCTCCTCACTCTGTGTCTGGTGAATCCTCTCACACCTGCACCTCTGGTCTGTACCCCGGTTCTTGTATGCATAAATAATAAATCTTTAAAAAATCTGATAAGGAGAAATAACAGCAGGTTCCCAGATGTGTTAAGATAAACTGGCCAATGCAGGTGATTCATCCAAACACAGAGGAAAATTGGAATGACTGGGGAAGGAAAGAGAGAGGAAACCTTCTTCCCCCCCCCCACCCCCACGAAGCTAGCCCACACTGAGAAACAGAAAATGATAAAAATCCTGGAGATCAGATACCCAGAGAATCCTGAGACATTTGAGAGCTCTGAACAGAGACAAGTAGGAAAATGGGGTGTGGGGCAGGTTCACAGCACAGGAGATACCCTTTGTTTGCTGTTTCCCTTCCCTCCACTCTTCTGGAGACCAGGGAGACCATTTACCTGGTCATACTTACCAGTGAAAAAGACATAGGACTAGTCCCTGCATTGTGGGCCTCTTGGTAACCCAAGACCTAAGGTGGAAGGAGGCCTTGGGAGCCCCATCATCCACCCAACTACCTCACAGGCCCAGAAAAAGTGCTGACCCTCTCTCATACAGCTGCAGTTCAATCCCTGCCCTTTTATGCTCTAGTGTTTTCAATCTTCCCTCAACACACTACAAGGGAGATAGCTGGCCATGGGAAAACTCCCCTACCCAGCCCTGTGGCACTCCCCAGCAGACCAGACTAAAAAGCAACGATTATCTCACTGGGAGCCACCAGACTCCCGAGAAGCAATTCTCCCCACATCCATTTGTGTGTTTGCTTATTGATCAGTTGGTTGTCTATTGTTCCTTTCCATCTTTCCTATTTCTGTTTTCTTCTTTCTCCCCTTTAACATTATCATCTCTACTATCTCTTCTCTTTCTGTAACATTCCCTCTTCTACCTCCTCCCCTCTCCTCTTCCCCCATCTAGTCCTTTCTGTCTTCTCTCACCTTCATTTCTTTTATCATCATCCTCTTTCCTCTCATCCCTTCTGTCACTACAAAAGATAAGCATAGGTTGAAAGTAAAAGGTTGGAAAACAATCCTATAAGCAAATGAACCAAAAAAGACAGGAAGAACTATACTTAGAGTAGATGAAGTAGAGTTCAAACTAAAAAAATTTAAAAGAGAGATAGGTGATCACTACATTATGATTAAGGGGACAATATATCAAGAAGATATAACTCTCATCAATATACACTCACCAAATGAAGGAGCACCAAAATATATCAGACAATTATTATCATCTCTGAAAACAGACAGAGAAAATACACATGCAATAGGAGACTTCAACACACTACTCTTCCCCAATGGCAAGATCAACAATACAGAAAATAAACAAGGATACTAAAGCTCTAAATAAAGACCTAGACCTCATGGTCTAAGCAGAGATCGATAAGATACTGTACCCAAAAGCATCTGAGTACATATTTATCTCAAGTGTACACAAATCATTCTCCAGATTAATCAAAATATTGAGAAGGAAGGAAAACTACCAAATATGTTTTATGAAGTCAACATTACACTAACACCAAAACCAAAAACAAAAAGAAAACTATAGGCCAATCTCTCTAATGAACACTGATGCAAAATTCTTCAATAAATTCGTAGCCAACAGAATTCAACAATGCATCAAAAAGATTATTTACCACTACCAAACGGGATTTATTCCAGGGACACAAGGATGGTTCAGCATCTGAAAATCAATTAATGTAATCCAACACATCAACAACAACAAAAAATAATAAAAATCATATGATCGTATCAATAAATGCTGAGAAAGCACTCGACAAAGTTCAACAACCATTTAAGATAAAGGCCCTCAAAATTCTCAGGATAAAACGAATGTATCTTAACATAATAAAGGCCATATATGACAAACCCATAGCCAATATGATTCTCAAAGGTAAAAGGCTGAAAGAAAGTCTTTCCCTTAAGAGCTGGTACAAGAGAAGGATGTCCATTCTCACCACTACTTTTTTCAATATAATACTGGAAGTCCTCATCAGAGAAATAAGATAAGAGAAAAACATACAAGGAATCAAATAGGGAAAGAAGAATTAAACTCAATATTTGCAGACAACATGATAATATACACAGAGAATCCTAAAAACGCCACAGAAAAAAACTAATCAAAATAATCAACCAGTTTTGTAAAGTGTCAGGTTAAAAAATCAACACACAAAAATCAGTAGCCTTCCTATATGCAAACAATCAATCTAAAAAAGAAGAAAACCATCCGTCTTATAACTGAAATAGAAAAAAAAAAAAAAAGGTCAAATACTTGGGGATAAACCTAACAAAAGACCTACACAAAGAAAATTATAAAACACTGTAAAAAGAAATAGAAGACACAAAGAAATGTAAAGACATCCTCTGCTAAGAGATTAGAAGAGTTAACATTAACAAAATGGCCACCCTACTAAAAGCAATTTACAGATTCAACACTATTCCAATAAAAATTTCAATGACATTCTTCAAAGAAATGGAACAAATATTGACAAAATTCATATATGGATCCACAAAAGCATCAAATAGCCAAAGATTTCCTGACTGAAAAAAAGAATAGAAGTATCACATGCCCAGACTTCAAACCTTATTTCAAAGCCATAATAATTAAAACTATATGGCAGTGGAACAAAACCAGACACACAGACCACTGGAACCTAACAGAAAACCCAGAAATAAGCCCACATATTTATGGACTAACTAATCTTTGACAAAGTAGCAATGAATATGCAATGGAACAAGGCCAGTCTATTCAATGAATAGTGCTGGGAAAACTGGCCTGCAAAAGATTAAAGCTAGACTATCTCACACCATGCACAAAAGCCAACGCAAAATAAATAAAAGATTTGGACATAAGACCTGAAATCATAGAACATATAGAAGAAGATCTAGGTAAAACACTACATGGCATACATCTCAGTAACATCTTTAAAGTCTCATCCTCCAAAGCCAATGTAGAAAAAGAAAAGCAGCTGGGATTACATCAACTAAAAAGCTTCTGTACTGCAAAAGAGAAACTAACTAAACCAAAGGGACACCCTACTTGTTGGGAGAAAATTTTGCACTCCATACAACTGATAAGGGACATATCACAAAGATCTACAAAGAACACAGATGACTTAACAAAAACAAAGTAAACAATAGAGTAAAAAAATGGGCCGAAGAGCCAAAAAGACACTTCTCCAAAGAGGAAAGGCAAATGGCCAACAGTCATATGAAAAATGATCAACATCCCTTATAATCACAGAAATGCAAATCAAAAAACACAATGAGACACCACTTTACACCAATGAGAATGGCACATATTAGAAAAAAAAAAAAACAGCATACAACAAATGTTGGCAAGGATGTAGAGAAACTCTCCTAAACTGCTGGTGGGAATGCAAACTGGTCCAACCACTATGGAAGGCTGTGTGGAGGTTCCTCACATTATTAAAAACGGATCTACCAGATGACCCACCAGCCCCACTCCTAGAAATCTACCCAAAGGACACAAAAATATTTATCCAAAAGGATACATGCACCCCCGTGTTTTTTGCAGCACTGTTTACAATATAAAAGATATGGAAACAACCCAAATGACCAAATATAAATGATTGGATCATTAATATGTGGCATATGTACACAATGGAATATTACTAGCAATCCAAAATGATAAACTCATATGCCATTCACAACAACATGGATGGAGCTAGAAAGGATTATGCTCAGTGAAATAAGCCAGAAAGAAAAGAAAAATTTCAGATGTTTTCACTTGTAGAAAGAATGTAGGGGAAACAAGTAAGATCAGGGGAAAAAATAACTATAATAAATTAGAAAAAAAATTAATAAGCAACTATAAATCAGTGACATTCTACAAGAGAGGGGTAGCTACAGGAGTCAAAACAATAGAGAAAAGAACACAAAAGGGACTACAGTAATGGTGCAGGAGTAAATTGGTGATGGGAATTTTATGGGGACTACACCTGAGAGGAGAAAGCATACATCTACAAAGAGGAAAAATGTTGTAAAGTATATATTTTTTTAAAAAACAAAGACATAATAGAGAATCTATAAAGCAGCAAGGAAAAAATGTGACTTGCTACATATAGAGAGCTCTTAGATGATTTTTAGTCATGTCTTAGAAGAAACAAAGTAGGCCATAAAGAATTGACATGATATATTCAAAATGCTGAAGTAAAACAAACCCTGCAAATCAAGAATGCCATGTTCAGCAAAATTATCCTTCAGAAATGAAGGAAAATTAAGACACTGATAAACAAAAGATGAGTATCACCACAAGAGATTTGGATTAACTTTATTTTGCCTAACTCATTCATTTGTTCACATTAATTGGTGTCTTCTACATACTAAGCATCTTACTAAGTGCAAGAAGCCACAGAAAAAGAGATCATCTCTGCTCTCTATGCTCAGTTGTGGGGTTGCTAGTCTTAAACAGCCTGTTTGGTCATCATGTTGGTTCCATGCAATTCTGCATTCCTGGACAAGATTAGAACAGCCCGGTCAATCAGTTATATGACCTGAAAGAATGTAATCTAACAGACCCTACAAGGTTTCCTTCAAATAAACCTTGTGGGTATATATCAGAAAGTATGACTGGGATAGTCTAAGGGGCGTTGACTGATGCATGACCTTTCTTCCCAGAGAATGATCAGTGGAATGCCTTGTTGATAAAACTGGAACCATAATGGGTGGAGGTCTTGGGTGTGCTTTCTATTATAATATTAGGTTAT